TATATATATATATATATATAAAGTAAATGCGGTTCCAAAAATTTTAAAACATAATAAAATCAATAAAATGAAAACTCCAAGATATTTTTTAACTCTTAAATCATCTTTAGAAGATATAATTAAATACAAATCACGAGAACAATGGAAATGATATTTACTCCATTAAAGAGATCTAGATCTTTTGAAACTTTCGTATCATCCTTATCCACTTCTAATATGATTATATATATAAAATAAAATTTAAATTTAAAATCTCATAAATTATCTATGCTCTAGTGTACACTATACTAGGATGACTAAATAGGTTAACCTAGTCTATTTAAGTTTGCCACATTATCAACTTACTAAAAACAGTTTGGATTGACCCACTAAGTGGAAATGGGCTAGATGGCCTATCCCACTTAAAAGTGGGTTGGCAAGTCAACCTACCCAAAAAAATATAAATAAAAAAAAAAAAGAAAAAAAAAGTTTTTATATTTATTTTGGATACCTTTTTTAACATGTTTTCTCCAATATCTAAAAGATCCATACAAATTAACATAAATTAATTAGTATACCTAAATAATAAAATAAATCTAATTACAATAGATTTTAGGAGTATTCATAGGTTAAGTTTGTTCAAGTTTGAGTGAAAATTCAATTTAAATTAATTAAATTTATTTGATTTGTATTGATTTAAATTTCATAATTTTTTTGCTTAACCAAATTGGTGTTGATTAGGTTGATTTAGTTTGAGTCATCAGATATCCAATAAATTTTTTAAAAAAATTAAATTTAAAAATATATTTTTATAAAATAAATAAATTTTCCAACATTAACTAAATTAATATATTGTCAAAAATTAACTAAATTGATATATTTGTAATATAGTTCCTCTTAGTTTCTTAATCTACTAAAGAATTTTAAATACATTATAGTATGTGAGAATGACAATTAATATATTGTAATATTTTTTTAAAATATGTAAAAAAAAGAATGAAAAAATCTACATATTATAACATAAAAATATCTTTAAAATAATTAAAATGATATATACATATTAATTGTTAACTAAATAAAATAATAATAATAAATTAATTAATTGGTTCGGTTCTGATTTTAAATATATAAATAATATGATAACAAACTAATCAACATTAAATTTAATTAGTTTGGTTTAGGTTGAACTCAAACAAAAAAAAAAATATGAACCAGTTTAATTGTTTTGGTTCAAATTGTTAGGTTCATTGAATTGATTCGATTTCGATAAACACTCATAATAAATTTGGTTTGATTTGTTGCACAACAAATCTCAAATTTATTACATAATAAAATAAATATGTAATAATAATAATAATAACTCTTTTAACAAATTTTTTATACAAAAAATCTCAAATTACATCTAATAAAATAAATCAAATATATAACCTATTTGTTACACAATAAATTACATATTACTCATATAATAAATATCATGTTATTTAGTTAAACTTAACATTAAAAGTAAAAAAATTAAATAGGCCAGCGGACCAACTCGCCTCGGCCTCCATTTGACTCGGAGAAATTAACAAATTAGATGTGATAAACCAAATGGGTTATTGGATTAAGCTAGATGGAGTAAACCAAGCAGATTATTTGTGGGTTAAGATGCTTAACTCAGAATGCCAACTTTTGGTGGGTCAAGAGTCATTTTGCCATCTTTACACTATAGTAATGCTGGTGTGTCTCGTTTCATCATAATAACAACATAGATCTTATTATAATCTTAAAACTCTAAACGTGTGGTTCAGCGGTAGGGGTTAATCTATGTTTAAGTAAAATTTCGAATCCTGTCTTGTATATGCAGTCGCGTTAAATCTTGAGGTCAGCTATCCCACCCTTTGAGATGTCTCCAATCTAGCGAGGAGATTAGTCACTACTATTGGTGGTAGATACTCCAAAAATAAATTCAAAAAAAATATAATATTTACTATTTTTTAATTGCTAGTTGGTAGTTAGCGGATTAAGGACCGTTTTTTCATCCCTACACTATACTAATACTAATTTTGGTGTGTCTCGTTTCATCATAATAACATCCAAGATCTCACTATAATATTATAAATATGATATTTACTCTTTTTTATTTTTTTTTTAAATTACCAGTTAATAGTTAGTGAGTACTCTCGATATTTGTTTCAGTAACACTCTACCCAATTGCAATTAGTGTTTCTCTCAATTATGTATAAAATTCTTGTTTAGTCGATACATGATTTTGCCTCTTCTTAAAGAGAAGGTAAATTATACTTTATATTTTCTTATATAGTTTATCGATTTACTATTATGGAGACTTTTGGTCCCGAAATCCTTAATATATTGAGTTAACGTAAAAGAATATTGTTATAACTATTGGGAAAAATCCAAGTCCCACATCGACTAGAGATTAGGCAATTGAATAGTATATAAGTGGAAAGCAACCCTCACCTTATAAACCGGTTTTGTAGGGTTGAGTTAGGCTTAATCCACTATTCTAATATGGTATCAGAGCCATTTAGATCCACTTTAAAAATGGGCCACCCACCATTGATGCATGCCTCACAGACGTGAGGGGGTGTATTGGGAAAAATCCAAGTCCCACATCGACATAAGTGGAAAGCAACCCTCACCTTATAAGCCGGTTTTGTAGGCTTGAGTTAAGCTTAATCCACTATTCTAACAATAACCACAGTTTTTTTGGTACACTGGGAAAATATATAACCACAATTTTAACTGTGATTAGTAAGCCAAAAATATAATTAAATCAAGCAAAACCAATAAATGATTTTTTTTCTTTAATTCAAACTAGAAGAAAATTAGGTAGTGTTTATAGTCTGATTTTCTCATATTTTCCTTTTCTTTAAAAGTAAAAACTTTGAGAAGATTTCTATTAATAATCTTAACATACCACTGATATTTAGTTCGGTAGTATTGAAAGTGTCTTTCTGTTCTATCATTTTTAATATTAAAAAAAATTTCAAATTAGCTTTAATAAAAGTTTAATTTTGCTTCTTTTTATTTATTTATTGAAAATATTTAATTTTTAAGAGTTTTTCCTATTGCATTCGATTCAATTTCATTTTTTAAGAGAAGAAATATATATTAAAAAGTTTAAAGAAAAAAACAAGTAGCACATGTATGTACATCAGAAAAATAAATAAGTTATAGAAATAAGTCAAGAAAGCATTAAACTACATAAAGTGAAACTTAATTATCAAAGTAATGGCAGTACAATTTTTACCATCTCCCACAAACCCGTCTCCTGTAAAAAAGGATGTGAAACGAAAATCCAATGCCAAATAAAGATAATTGATCTTTACTGTGTATCCAAAAACGTAAAAGTCAAAAATCAAATGAACATTATAACAATTTATCTATTTTTTTATCTGAGAACCTGATGCTATAATTGCCGCGTTGTACTAATTTCCTAAATAATAAGAGGAATCAAATCTTGTTATGCAGATTCTGATGTGCAAAAGCATTCATAATTTATTGGAATATAGCAGTTAAGCCTGTCAACTGAACTTCAAACTTGAATAGAAAAATGAAAAGAGTATTTTCACGTGATATTATTATAACATAGTTATTGATGACATCTATATATGGAATAGAGCAATAACATTATATATTTATGAACAGCACATGCGCATAAACTTTCTTCTTATACTATCTTAAAAGGGAATCATTTGAAATCAGAGTTTGTTTATATAATTAAGTTAATTGTTATTAATTAGCTGACTAATGTACACGTCTTCTCATCAGATGTATAGTCATGATTTATACGCATCATGCATCTTTGGCATAATGGTTGCACGCGGACACATAACATCGATGTAAAATTTCGAGGCTATAGTTAAGTAAAATAATTCCACATAAACAAAATTTGAAGCAAAGTTTTAAAGTTAGAAAAAATAAATAAACCAAAGCAACCGTATTATATATGTATTTTTACTTAGCGTGAGTTTCACATAAATTTTTTCGTGAGAATATGAAGTTAGATTAGCCTAGGAACGAATTCTCTGAGAAAATTAATTAATCTCTTGTAGAAGATAATCCTTCTCAGAACAAGATGAGAAATTATATGCAAGTGTCTCTGTTAATCAAAATTTGAATCATAATGCATCATTTTATTGAGATTACTATAATTCTTTCTTCAGCTAAACACAACCCTGATAATACACTCTACCTTTTAAAATTAACGTTGATTTAAAAATCAGCTGGTACATACACCAACAAACAGAAAAGTCATCTACGCCGAAATTATAGGATTTGCAGGGATATTCTTAAGAGAATGCTGTGAAAACTCTTTTTTAACACAATCTTTTGCAAAGTTTAAAGAAAATTTACAAATTTTAGTTGATTATACATTTTACTTATTAATTCTCTTTTAATTTTTCGATTTTCATTGAATTTTAATCAATAAAAATATATATTAAGATAAATATATTAGAGAATATGTTACTATCGGGCCTCTATGCATAATAATTATAACCTACCTTTATATTTAGTACAGATAAAATTTGAACATGTAATCAGGAAATTAGTAAGTACCAACGCATCAACCGTTCATCCGCTTTTTAAAACTCAATAGGTGGAAAATTAACGCTTTCCATTTCTTTCAAAACAAATCTTTTAATCTCTACAGTATACAGTAAATTTTTAACTCAGTATGGTCTCCATGAAAATCAATTGTCCAACTTGGAAATTAATTATGCAGTGGGCAAAACAAGAAAATTTTCATTCATCTCGTGACTATACTGAGCGACGGTTAATTAATATTTATGTTTTGAATAAGATTTTACAACAGATACTATCTTGAACCAAGCTTGAAAGAAGCAAAAGTCAAACAAAGTTTACATTTAATTATTCTATTTTTCAACTAATATGATCATATCCAAAGAAATGCTTCATTGGAAATATTTCAACATTCTCATATATTGTTTTATTTAAGTTTGGGTAGCTATCTCATAATGGTCGACAAACATCAACACTTGAATTTCTTCAATGATGTGCAAAAACCATTTCAAACTTAATTAGAACTGCATTGACACAGCAAAAAACAAAAACAAAAAAAAACATTTGAACTACACACAAAAATAACACAACAACACTAGGAGCACCAGATTAGAGTGCAATCACTCAATTCATTCACCCATTTCTCAACCTCATTTGTCTCTAAGGCCATTTCAACCACCTTGACTTGGCTTCTATCCTTGGCCAAGTTATTCAATAGATTAACCGAGCTCTTTCTTCTCTTTGACCATTGTGATTCACAACTATCATCCAAAGATGATAGTGAAGAAGGCTTTGACAAACTCTGCTTAGAAGTTACCACGCTCAGTGACTTTGATGACGTATCATCGAAGCCAATGAAGTGACGACTTCTATCCTTGGCCAAGTTATTCAATAGATTAACCAAGCTCTTTCTTCTCTTTGACCCTTGTGATTCACAACTATCATCCAATGATGATGGTGAAGAAGGCTCCGGCAAACTCCACTTAGAAGCCACCACACTTGGCACCTTTGATGACGTATCATCGGAGCCAATGAGGTGAGGAAAATTCAACTTGGCCTTGCGGCCACGCATCTTGAAAGCAGCTTTGTCGTAAGCCAAAGCTGCTTCTTCCTCGGTTACATAAGTTCCGAGCCAAATCCTAGCACCATTTTTCTTTGGATCTCTTATCTCCGCCGCGAACTTTCCCCATGGCCTACGCCTCACACCCCGGTAGCGCCTCCATTTTGGAGGCGCGTTCGCTTCACGCACTGCCGTGTCAGAACCAGTATTATGTCTAGGGCTTGGAAAAGCTTGATTTGGTGTTAGAATGCCTGAATCATTGGGAAGGAGGTATTGTTGAATTTGATCTAAATATGAACACTCTGAAGCCGTGGTGGTGGATGACATGTTTTGGACGTGAAAGGGGACTGTGGTGTTTCAGTGCTGAAGTTTGCTGTTTCTGAAAGAATTATGCTTTGAACCATGCTGTTGTGTGTATTTATATAGCAGTGTTTACTGTTTCTGTTTATGGAATTGTATTATTTAAAATTTGGTGTTGGAACAACGTGAGGTTATTTTCTTAAATAATCTTTTTAAGGTTGTTTACGTGAAAGTTCAATTGATTTTTAGAGACACTAGTTATTGCCACGTGCAGTTTGTTATATATATTTGTATTAACTAATAGCAAAGCTCGAGTGTTATTATTATTATTATTATTATTATTATTTTTTTTTTATAAAGTGTGTGTGACCGTCAGTGATTTTTTTCATCTCGTTTTTTTTTTTTACATCTTTTTTTGTCTCTTGTTTGTTGGCAAAAATTTTTATTTTTTGACATACATGTGTCATTATTAAAGTATTTATTGGCAAAAACACATGTAATTAATTTCTTTTTGAGTTAATTGACTTAATTCTTTAACATTCAGTGATATTGTATGTAAGGCTATAATATTTTTTTTTGACAGTTATGTAAGGCTAGCTAATATATAACCATTGTCACCATTAATATCAAATTACATAGTTATATAAGTTACACCAACTATGTTCTAAAAAAAAAAAAATTACACCAACTATTACAATATTTAATAATTTTTATTAGATGATTTTATCTCAATATTTATTATAACCAGATTAAAAATTATTAGACTTAAACATACCTTTAGTTCATATAATATATTATTTTTTTGTTTTCATTCTCATATATATATATATATA